CGGGTGCCCCCCGGGTGGTCGTCAGCGTGGCTCCCCCCCACGTTGGTGGAGGGCCCTGCCTCTCCCGCTGACCTGGGGCTGCCCGCTTCCCCGCCGCCGCGGGTTTGGTGGCCTTTTGGCAGAGGGCCGACAGGCCGCCGGGCCGTCCCTGGCGGCAGGGGACGATTTCCAGCCTGGCCGTGCGACACGCTGCCGTGCCGCTTGTTTCCAGCCTCCTGGTTACACGTTCCCTCCGGTTTTTCCCCCCTGTCTGGCAGGAAACTTTTGTGGCCGCTCCAGAGCAGCGTGGGCCGGGGAAGGTTGGTCATTTCGGGGATGAGTTGCTTTACCGGGCGGTGGAAGAGCCAAGCGAAAGGAGGGGAGCTGCTCGAGTTCACCAGCGAAGCACTCGCGTCCCAGCGCCAGGCTGCCAGGACGTGCTGCCAGAGCACATCTCCTTGGGTGCTGCCGGGTTGTGTCCGTGGGTGATGCCCTCAGGATGCGTCTCTGGCAGAACTGGCTCTGTTCAGGCACAGAAACGCTCAGAGACACACAGGCAGCCCCTTCCCCGCAGACCCCGCCGCGGGGCAGCTCTGCCTGCGTGATGCCGGAGCACGCTGCGAGCCCCCCGCCTGCTCGCGGGCTGCCTGCGCCGGGGTCACCCACCCCAGCGCCTGAACGAGACTAAAGTCTCGTTGACGGGCTCTGAGGAAGCCGCCGCACCGGCCGAAGGGGCCGTGACAACAGCGCCATGAAACACTTTTCAAAGCCAGACACCTAACAAGCACGGTGCGTCCCGCTGAATAAACACATTGAACCAAACCCCGAGAATCAGCCCGGCTTGTCTGGATCACGCCGTCCTCGGATCCTTGCCCTATCCCGGCCTGCGGAGCAACCTTTGGACGGCACGAAATTGCATCAGACCCCGGCACCACCACAGCACCGGGCTCGCGTAAGCCGGACTGCGGCTCCTGGCAGGCTCTTCACCTGGGTGAGCGAAGGGAGCGTGCCGGGCTGCGAGGCCGCGGGACACCTCCTCACGTACCGGCAAATTCTCCACCGGCTGCTCCTGCTGCGCCGAAAGATTGCTACGCGGTAAAAACGAGCCTGACCGCACGCGGAACTGTAAACTCATCAGCAATTCCCCCCCCCAGATTTTTTTAAACAGAGTAATTGTGTTGAGGTCAGAGAGATAATCCTGATTTACACCGGGGTTAATGTTTACGCTGCCACCGGTGACAAAAAAAGCTCGCAGCCTTTCATCTCCAATTTTGGTAAATTGGAGTTAATTGTTCAGCAGGACAGTGGGGGTGACATGCTGGTCACGCCTTCTGTTCTGCGCCGTGTCCCCGAATCTGCGGCTACAGAGCAGGACCTAAGCTAAGCAGGCAGTATCGGGGCAGGTATTTGTTTTGCCTTAGTACCAGGAGCTCTGAATCAGCCTCCGGGACTGGAGCACGGTGCTACCAAATGTCCAGACGTGTCCACTGACTTCAGATCCACCAGTTCTTGGCTGCTTCAGGTGAGGGCAGTGAGGGCCTGGCTCTCCAGGGGCCTCAGCACCCCCTGACTTGGAGGGGGGGCTGCTGAGGTTTAGCATCACAGGAAAGCTTGGGTTGGTGGGCGCCTCGGGAGGTCGCTCCTCCACCCCCTGCTCAAAGCCGGGTCAGCGCTGGGTTCAGGTAAGGTTGTCCAGCACGTTCCCATGAGCGGGTGGTTTTCCCAACAATGGCTGGGGCAGGAGATAGGCAGCGGGCAGCTCAGGTGAGCTCTGCCCCCCTCGTCCACGGCGGGGGGAGAAACACAGGAGTTTGAGCTCGAGGCAGGATCAGCGCTGCGACTACAGCTGCTCACCCGGTGCACGGGCCAGCAACGGCACAGGGAGTCCCAGCAAAACGCACACGCAGAGCCTGAGAACCTGGTTTGATACCGATATCTGCACAGCTTTACCCTGTCCCTGCCACCCACGGGAGCCCTCTGGGCACTCCGAGCAAAGGCCGCAACCGGGAGAGCAGCAAAGTCACCTTGACCTTAAAGGGGGACACTGGCAAGGGTGGCCTTGGACACTGCACTTGTCTCTCCCTCTTCCACCACTGTCAGGAGCCGGGGGACCCAGATCACGGTCCCTGCCAGCAGAGCAAGAGCGGCAGGTAGCTCTGACAACGTCTCCTTGGCTTGGCGGGGACACAGAGCGGGGGCTGGGGAGGGAAAGCCCACCTGAGCGCTGAGCCCGTTCAGGGACAGCCGAGGGCAGAGCAGGCGGGGAGCGCAGCCTCAGCTCTGAAGCGACTCCTGCTGCCGCGGTGCTCGTTGTGGGGAGGGATGCAACACAGGAACGGGCTCCACCGGCGTTCCCCACCCTCTCAAGGATGTACCCTGGCAGCCACGGAGGGTTCGTCGGACCAGACGTAGACTCACTTAATTTCTTTGTGATTTTATTTTGTCGGCTCCCAAGGCAGCGGTGCCCCGTGGCACAGCTCTTCCCCAGGAAGCTGCGAGGTGATGCATCCCCGTGGCGGAGTGTCTTTTCTGGTTGCAAGACCTGGTACTGGCTGCAAACTCATCCGTGCCTTTGGGCAACAGGTCTGGCTGCCAAGGAATACGGAGCAGCTAATGAAACACGCCGAGTAAATACGTGGTGCTGACAGATGAAACCGACTTTTCACATTCCTACGATATTGTTTTAAAGTACGCTAAAACCCCCTCCTGGTGCATCAGGATCATTACCACTGGTTTTCCCAGTGCCGGAGCACATCTCAAAGGAAGATGGGTATGGGGAGGAGGACTCAGAAGCTGCTGTTCTACATTTTTAGAGTTTTTTGTTGTTGTCAGTGATAATTTCTTCAATTATCACCTTCCCCCACACCCCTGCGGGCTCCTTTTGGCCCCACGCAGAAGCACGGCGTGTCCTGTCCCCACAAAGTCAGAAACAAAACCTGCTGAGGTAGCTACGCAGATCTGGCGAAATAACCGTAGGAAGAAAGGCCGTGTTTCACCCGGACCGGGCTGTGGATCCAGCCCGCACAGGGCCCCACGGAGCTCCTGCTGCTCCTGCGGGCGAAGGGGAAAGGGCAGAGCGAAGCCAGGGATCCCTAAAACTGGCGTCGCTGCCGAAGCTGGTACGTGGTGGAGCTTTGGCCTGAGCAGGTGACCAAGAGAGCGCCGTGAAGGGCCCCGCCGCGGCGCGGCAGGCAGGCCGAAGCAGGCAGCAGCGGGCGGGCGGCTGCAGGAGAAGACGCGGCACAGCGCCGGTTACGCGTCCCCCCTCCC